AGACCAGATTTGGCCGAGATGATTCTCTGCCAGCCCGGTTGCTGATTTGTTCACTCATCTAACTCGGCGAGTGGATCCTCCGCAGACCGACCCAACCGAGCAGTAGCTTGATCACTGCGGAGGGCTGATTAAGCTCGGTCGCAATAGAGCCCGACTAATAGCACTGTATGTCTCAGAAAGTGGTACGGTCGTAGGGGGCCAATGTAGCGCTGCCGAGCTGCCCGTTTGAACCAACGCCGTTTGGCAGTTTGATTAGGTGGTGTTTAGCTGAATTTGCGCTGACACGTGGGGAAACGGGATGGGAGAGCAGGTCCACGCGTCAGAAGGCGAATGGATGTAGAGGCTTGCGCAAAAGGTATATAAGTATGACTGCGCCCCCCATGCTAGGAATGGAACATCTATTGGTGAGAGAAACTCCAGCACTTAGTCTTCTTTTCTCTCTCTCTCTCTCTCTTTGAGTGTGTGTTAACTTGATCGTCGAAGGAGTTTTCCGGCAACACACCGCCGGGTAGCTCACCGTCGTTGTGTTCGCAGGTTAATCGGATCAAAGTGAAGCTTGAACGCGATGAGTACAGACGGTATCAGATATTTTCCCCTCGTACAATTGGCGCCGTCTGTGGGAAACTTTGAAAACATAACCTGGCCCTCTAAGCTCATCGGATCGCCTTCCATGACAAACAACGATGAAATACCGTTGTTTGTCATCAATGGTATTACCCCAGAGTCAGTCCGTCGGAGAGACGGACTTCCTGCTGTTCCAAACATGGTGGGCCTAGAGACTTCCCCAGGAGGACTTCTTAGGAATGCACGAGATAAGCGCACCAGAAGCTTTGGTCACTCGCGAAGTCCAGACGGACACCGGCGACGGAGAGAGTCGCACGCCCAACGCCTGGAGCACAAGTTGAGGGACCAAGACGTCGTCATCCAGAGAATGGCGGCAGAGATGGAAGCTCTTAAACGCCAAGTCAAAGGAAAGGGTGCTACTGGAGTGGGTGACCACAGTGAGCGCATCCAATCCCGCTGCTCAGGCAGCCAGAACCAGCGACACACGTCCTCCCTTTCCATCACCAAAAGCTATGGGATTGGAGACAAAGACTCGCCTGCTAAGAAGTATAGCACGCAAGATAGTAGCTACCATCCCTCACGTCTGCCGACGACATGGAGGTATTCTTACTCCGCTCATTCAGAGGACCTGAGGGACGTCTTAAAGGAACGAGCTCGCCGACAGGAGGTTCAAAGGGTGCCGATGCTCCAGTGGTTATCCTACGGAGGACACGCTAGCGAGGAAGTTATAATGCCACCACCACGCTCACCCGCGCCTGTTCCCTTGGACAAAGATTTGGCGAGGCTGAGCGCCACCCCCTTCTCCCTTGAGATAGAGACTACACCGCTCCCAGTAGGCTTTCACCAGCCCAAGTTTACGCTTTATAATGGGAAGCGATCCGTACATGCATGTAAGCCACTTCCGGCAGGTCATGGCTGGACACCGATGTAATGATGCTCTTATGTGCCTTATTTTCCCATCGAGTCTGGGCGAGTTGGGCTTGAAATGGTTTCAGAGGCTCCCGGAGGAAAGCATCAAAAGGTGGCAGCAGCTGGCAGAAGCATTGGTGACTCGATTCAAAACCAACACCAAGACGCCCAAGGAAGTGGACCATCTCCTGAGCGTCAGAATGGAGTCAAGCGACTCCCTTAAAGCACACAACGCTAGGTATTGGAAAACCTTCAACGAGATTCTGGATTGCCCGACCAACTTGGCAATCACCCAATATAAGCATGGTCTCTCGGTTGGACATAAACTGAGGGACTCGCTCACGATGAATCAACCGACTTCCATGGGGCAACTGATGTAACGCATCAATGAGCACATTTGAGTTGAGGATGATGTGGTGGCGTCCACTGTGAAGGTAAATCAGGTGGCAACGGACAAAAGGGTGGCTGGGAAAGTACACGCGTTCGGACAGGAGACAAACCGTCCAAGTGACCGCGCAAGAGAGTCAGACCGTGGTCTAGATCGTAGAAACTGGGGTAAAGGTCGCCGCAATGACCGAGCAAAATATCCCCACGATGACGCAACAGATGCGAACAGAAAGTTGAACGCTCGAACGGGCATCACCACAGTTTTTAAGATTCCAATCTACCGCATACTAAGTGAAATTCGCGACGAGGTTTACGTCCAGTTTCCCTTTAAGTTAGGCGATGCGCAAAAGGGCTTCAATCCGTGGTACCGCTGCACATTTCACCAGGAGCGTGGCCACCGGACAGAGGATTGTTTGCCTTTGAGGCAACACTTGGAAGAGTTAGTCGTAGTCGGACACCTGGACCTTTACATCGATGGAGGTGTTAAGGCGAATCAAGCTCCGGTTGATCCACGGGGACCGGATGACCGTGATGCACCCCCACAAGGAGTTGTTAATGTCATTCACGGCATAATGGAACCGGCACGGGTATGCGAGCTCCGGGGTATGATAAAGAAGGCGGAACACATGAGGGAAGTCTTGTCGGTTCAGCCTGCAATCAAGAGGGGGAAGACCGAAGAAAGAGATGTGCTCAGTTTCTCCTCAAGGGATCTAGAGCGCATTCAGACACCGCACAACGACGCCTTAGAAGTGACGCTCCGCGTCAAGAAGTTTGATGTCAAACGGATCTTGATCGATCAGGGAAGCTCGGTCGAGATCATGTACTACGATGCATTCAAACAGCTCAAGCTCCGTGATACAGACTTGGCTCCGGCAACTTCGCCCCTGGTCGGTTTCAACTCACAACCGGAGTGGCCTTTGGGAAAGATTATCCTGCCGGTCAAAGCGGGATCCGTAGTCAAACAAGTGGAGTTTTGGGAGCTGCAAGTACCATCCACTTATAACCTGATCCTTAGAAGGGGATGGCTTCACGCGTTTTTTTTATAAAAGTGATAAACATTATAATTATTAATAATTAAAAGAGAAATGTCCCATCTCTCCATTTCATCACCCCGAATTGGGTTGCAAACGAGCCGGGTCAAGCCAAGTTTTAATATGTTTAGACTTGTTTATTAATATTTTAACGAGCTCGAATGCAAGTTCGAGTTCGAGCTCAATAAAAATTTAACAAACTAAGCTTAAGCAGAGTTGGCTTAGACTTGACTCGAGTTCGAGTTTGTTCACGAGTCTTAAAGAGCCAAGGAAATTATTTATAAATTCATACTTGCATATGAGACTAAAGTTACTGAGAGGGCGATTTCATAATCTGGCCTTGGGACGCGGTATTGGCCGGGCAGAAAGTGGTCCGAGCGTGTTTGGGCCGAGCTGGGCTGGGCCGTTTCAGGTGGAGTTTGCTCGGTTGAAGTTTAGACCAGATTTGGCCGAGATGATTCTCTGCCAGCCCGGTTGCTGATTTGTTCGCTCATCTAACTCGGTGAGTGGATCCTCCGCAGACCGACCCAACCGAGCAGTAGCTCGATCACTGCGGAGGGCTGATTAAGCTCGGTCGCAATAGAGCCCGGCTAATAGCACTGTATGTCTCAGAAAGTGGTACGGTCGTAGGGGGCCGATGTAGCGTCGCCGGGGTGCCCGTTTTCGCCAACGCCGTTTGGCAGTTTGATTAGGTGGTGTTTAGCTGAATTTGCGCTGACACGTGGGGAAACGGGATGGGAGAGCAGGTCCACGAGTCAGAAGGCGAATGGATGCAGAGGCTTGCGCAAAAGGTATATAAGTATGACTACGCCCCCCATGCTAAGAATGGAACATCTATTGGTAAGAGAAACTCCAGCACTTAGTCTTCTCTTCTCTCTCTCTCTCGCTTTGAGTGCGTGCTAACTTGACCGTTGGAGGAGTTTTCCGGCAACACACCGCTGGGTAGCTCACCGCCGTTGTGTTTGCTGGTTAATCTGATCAAAGCGAAGCTTGGACGCGATGAGTACGGACGGTATCAGATATTTTTCCCCTGTACAATTGGCGCCGTCTGTGGGAAACTTTGCAAACACAACCTTGCCCTCCAAGCTCGTCGGATCGCCTTCCATGGAAAACAATGACGAAATACTGTTATTTGTCATCGATGGTATTACCCCAGAGTCAGTCCGTCGGAGAGACGGACTTCCCGCCGTTCCAAACATGGTGGGCCTGGAGACTTCTCCAGGAGGACTTCTTTGGGATGCACGAGATAAGCGCGCCAGAAGCTTTGGTCACTCGCAGAGTCCAGACGGACACCGGCGGCGGAGAGAGTCGCACGCCCAATGCCTGGAGCACAAGTTGAGGGACCAAGACGCCGTCATCCAGAGAATGGCGGCAGAGATGGAAGCTCTTAAACGCTAAGTCAAAGGGAAGGGTGCTACTAGAGTGGGTGCCCACAGTGAGCGCACCCAATCTCGCTGCTCAGGCAACCAGAACCAGCGACACACGTCCTCCCTTTCCATCACTAGAAGTTATGGGGTTGGAGACAAAGACTCGCCTGCTAAGAAGTCTAGCACGCAAGATAGTAGCTACCATCCCTCACGTCTGCCGACAACATGGAGGTATTCCTACTCCGCTCATTCGGAGGACCTGAGGGACGTCTTAAATGAATGAGCTCGCCGACGGGAGGTTCAAAGGGTGCCGGCGCTCCAGCGGTTATCCTACGGAGGACACGCTAGCGAGGAAGTTATAATGCCACCACCACGCTCACCCGTGCCTGTTCCCTTGGACAAAGATTTGGCGAGGCTGAGCGCCACCCCCTTCTCCCTTGAGATAGAGACCACACCGCTCCCAGTAGGCTTTCACCAGCCCAAGTTTACGCTTTATAACGGGAAAAGCGATCCGTACATGCATGTAAGCCACTTCCGGCAGGTCATGGCTGGACACCGACGTAATGATGCTCTCATGTGCCTTATTTTCCTATCGAGTCTGGGCGAGTTGGGCTTGAAATAGTTTGACAAGCTTCCGGAGGAAAGCATTGAAAGGTGGCAGTAGTTGGTAGAAGCGTTCGTGACTCGATTCAAAACCAACACTAAAACGCCAAAGGAAGTGGACCACCTCCTGAGCGTCAAAATGGAGTCGAGCGACTCCCTCGAAGCATACAACGCCAGGTATTGGGAAACCTTCAACGAGATCCTAGATTGCCCAACCAACCTGACAATCACCCAATATAAGCATGGACTCCCGGTCAGACATAGACTAAGGGACTCGCTCACAATGAATCAACCAATTTCCATGGGGCAATTGATGCAACGCATCAATGAGCACATCCGAGTAGAGGATGATGAAGCGGCATCCACCGTGAAGGCAAATCCGGTGGCAACGGACACAAGGGTGGCTGGGAAAGTACACGCGTTCGGACAGGAGACAAACCGTCCAAGTGACCGCGCAAGAGAGTCAGACCGTGGTCTAGATCGTAGAAACTGGGGTAAAGGTCGCCGCAATGACCGAGCAAAATATCCCCACGATGACGCAACAGATGCGAACAGAAAGTTGAACGCTCGAACGGGCATCACCACAGTTTTTAAGATTCCAATCTACCGCATACTAAGTGAAATTCGCGACGAGGTTTACGTCCAGTTTCCCTTTAAGTTAGGCGATGCGCAAAAGGGCTTCAATCCGTGGTACCGCTACACATTTCATAGGGAGCGGGGGCACCGGACGGAGGACTATTTGCCCTTAAAGCAACACTTTAAGGAGTTAGTCGCAGCCGGTCACTTGGACTGTTACATCGATAGGGGAGTAAGGGCCGCACACCACACCCCAGCTGAGCTGTGTGGTTCGGATGATCTAAAGGCACCCCTCCAAGGCATAGTCAATGTGATCTACGGTATAGTGGAGCCGGCACGGGTATACAAGCTCTGAGGGATGATCAAAAAGGCAGAACATATGAGGGAGGTTTTGTCAGTCTAGCCTGCGATCAAAAGGGGCAAGACCGAGGAGAAAAATGTGATTGGCTTTTCAAGTAGGGACCTTGGGCGCATTCAAACGCCATACAACGATGCCTTAATGGTCACCCTTCGCGTCAGGGACTTCGATGTTAAGCGCATCTTGATCGACCAAGGTAGCTCGGTCGAGATCATGTACTACGACGCTTTTAAGTAGCTCAAACTCCGAGATACAGACTTGGCTCCGGCAACTTCGCCACTGGTTGGTTTTAACTCACAACCGAAGTGGCCAATGGGAAAGATAATCCTGCCGGTCAAAGCCAAAGCTGGATCCGTAGTCAAGCAGGTGGAGTTCTGGGTATTGAAGGTGTCGTCCACATACAATCTGATCCTAGGTAGGGGATGGCTTCATACCATGCAGGCGGTAGCGTCAACGTACCACCAGGTCATGAGGTTCCCCTCGGCTACGGGGGAAGTTGAGGAGATTTGGGGCGATCAAGTCATGTCGAAGCAGTGTTTCGTGACAGTGAATGGGAGTCAAGCTGCCAAAGGCTTCGTGTAAATGATCGAAGGTCCAGGTGATCAAAGTGTCCTTGATAACGTGGGCACTAGGGCCGAGGAAAAGGCTGTTGAAGAGTTAGTGGAGGTGCGGATCAACACAGAAAGTCCTGACAAGTTCTTTTTGTTGGGATCTAGCCTGACCGCCCAAGAAAAGACCGAGATGGTGGAGTTCTTAGTGGTGAATATCGAAGTCTTTGCATGAACGCCATATGATATGCCTGGAATTGATCCAAGCTTTATTTGCCACCAACTCAATGTCTTCCCAGGTGCGCGTCATGTCATTCAAAGAACAAGGAGATCAGCCATTCATCACGCTGAGGTAGTCGCGGAGGAAGTCAAGAACCTGCTGGAAGCTAGGGCAATCCAGGAAGTGCACTACCCTCGGTGGCTTTCGAACACGGTCGTAGTACCCAAGAAGAATGGAAAGTGGCGAGTCTGCGTTGATTACAAGATGGTCAACTGAGCTTGCCCTAAAGACAGTTTTCTTCTGCCTATAATAGACCAGATAGTGGATCTTACAGCCGGACACAGCCGGCTCAGTTTCTTGGATGCCTATCGCGGTTATCACCAGATCGCCATGCATGAACTCGACCACGAGATAACCTCTTTCACGACCCCAAAGGGATTGTTCTGCTATAGAGTCATGCCTTTTGGTTTGAAGAACGCCGGGGCCACTTTCTAGAGGATAGTGACTAAGATGTTTGCCCCTTTGCTAGGCCGAACGATGGAGGCTTACATTAATGACATGGTGGTCAAAAGCAAGCAGCAAGCTGACCACTTATCCGACCTAGCTGAGGTGTTCGCCATTCTTAAACAATACAAGCTTCGCCTGAATGCATCAAAGTGTGCCTTTGGCATGGGATCAGGGAAATTCCTGGGCTTCCTAGTCACGAACCGAGGCATCGAAGCAAACCCTTCACAAATCAAAGCCATACAAGAATTGAAGCAGTCCAACTCAGTGAAGGACGTGCAACATCTTGCCGGTATGGCAGTAGCGTTTAACCAATTCATAAACCGGTCATCAGATCATTGCCGTCCTTTCTTTCGAGCCTTGAAGTCCAAGTTTTCATGGGACGAAGAATGTGACAGGACCTTAGCCGAACTCAAGATGTATTTATCTTCCGCCCCACTCTTGGTGACACCCAAGCTCAGCGAAGAACTCTACCTTTATCTGGCCGTTTCTCAACATGCTGTTAGTACGGTGTTTGTCCGGTCAGAAGCCATCCAACATCTCCTTATCTTTTACGTGAGCAAAACCTTACTACCGGCAGAATCCAGGTACTTGCCACTGGAAAAACTTGCTTTGGCGCTAATGATGGCCTCCAGGAAATTGACGCACTAGTTTCATGCTCATACAATCGTGGTGCTGACCAAATTCCCTCAGAAAGCCTTATTTGAGCGGGCGAATTTCTCTGGTCAAATCCTGAAGTGGGAAGTCGAACTGGATTCGATGCCAAGTTTCAACCCCGAAACCGCCATCAAAGCCCAAGTATTGGGCGACTCTGTTACTGAATTCTTGCCTGGAATTCACCCAGTGTGCCCGGTGGATCTTACCGAGGTAGCCGAGGAGGCGAATGGAAGCCAAACGAAAATTTCACAGCAGAGTGATGTCAACTTGCGCGCCCATTCGCACAACTTTCAGTCGGAAGCGTACTTCAGCCCAACAATACGACGATGGGCTTGGGAGTAACAGTTCAACCTGTCAGGTGTAGCACCGCATCACCGAAGGGGAATGGAGACGCGTTTGTTGAAATCATCAGCGGCGGGCTTCTAGTAAACATAGCCGAGCAGCCGAGCTATCGTGATCCCATCAACCTTAAAGCCTCCCAGGATCCCTCAGAATGTTGGAAACTTTTGTTGGGAGAAATATGGAAACTTTTTATGGATGACGCCTCCAACCGGTACGGCGCCGGGCTGGGCATAGTTTTGATCTCGTCGGACGGTCTATCCATCGAACACTCTATCACTCTCGGATTTCCAGCGTCAAATAATGAGGCCGAATACGAAGCACTGCTAGCTGGGCTTAAAAGCGCGCTCCAATTGCACGCATCCAAGCTGATGGTCTACAGCGACTCCCAACTCGTTGTAAACCAAATATCTTGAGTGTACGAAGCCAAAGATGACAGAATGGCCAAATACCAAGCTCTAGTGAGGAAACACATCAAGGAATTCCAAGCAATAAGGGTCCGACAAATTGGTCATGAAGAAAATGGCCGAACGGATGAGCTGGCCGGTCTAGCCTCCATGTTCGACAGTTCAACTCCCAGTCCTCTCCTGATCAAGTTTCTTCCGAGACCTAGTATTGAGGACTCGGAGCAGACGGAAGTTTTCTGCACCGAGCTTGGTTCCTCTTGGATGGATCCCATCATCCTTTTCCTGAAAGAAAGGACCCTTCCGGCCGACAAAAAAGAAGCGTATAAAATCCAGGTGAAGGCAGAGCGATTTTGGCTCTCCATCTGGCGCTTTGTATAAGAAGTCATTCAGCGGTCCGTACCTTAAGTGTGTTCATCCAAACAGTGTGGAAGATTTCCTCTATGAGATCCACGAAGGTATGTGTGGAAGTCACATCGGGGGGATATTTCGCAAGGATACTGGTGGCCGTGCATACAAGCAGACGCGCAAAAAAATGTTAGAAAATACGAAAAGTGCCAAAAGTTCGCCCACCAAATTCACCAGCCGACCAAAGAATTTCTCCCCCTTGCAAGTCCTTGGCCTTTCGCAATGTGGTAGCTGGACATAGTGAGACCACTCCCAACAGCGCCAGTAAACTGGAAGTTCTTCATTGCGACGACAGATTACTTCACCAAATGGGTGGAAGCTGAGCCCTTAGCAACCATCAAAGAAAAGGATGCCAAACGGTTTGTTTGGCAGAACGTGATAACGTTGTTTGGCGTCTCCAAGGCTTTGATTTCTGATAATGGCACCCAATTTGACGGGCGCTTGTTCAGAGGATTCTGTGAGGAATTGAAGATAGAATTCTACAATTCCACCCTGGCCTACCCGCAGTCAAACGGCCAAGCCAAAGCATCAAATAAGACCATTCTTGATGGGTTGAAGAAAAGGCTAGAGAAAGCCAAAGGAAAATGGGCTGAGGAACTCCCTAGTGTCCTTTGGGCATATCGGACGACCCCGAGACGTTCGACCGGGAAAACCCCTTTTGCCCTGGCATATGGCATGGAGGCGGTCATTCCATTGGAAATCAGCATGCCCACCATCCACAGCGAAAATTTTGAGCTCGAGTTGAACTATGAAGCCATCACCCTAGAATTGGACCTAGCTAACGAGCGCCGAGAAAAGGCGTTAATCCACGTGGCTGCATACCAACAAGAATTGTCCAGGAAGTACAACAAAACAGTGTACCCCATACCGTTTAAAGTCGGGGACTGGGTTTTAAGGAAGATGATGGGCAACACACTGGTGCCGGGCAAAGGCAAGCTAGGGCAAACTGGGAAGGGCCTTACAGGATAATCGGTCTGGCGGGCAAGGGGGCATATCACTTAGAGGACTTGGATGGCAAAAGCGTACCCCGGCCATGGAATGCGGCTAACCTCAAACTGTACTATTTTTAGTATTTGTCTTTTATACGTAATTTTTTGTGAAAGGACTTGTTCCTTTTACTTCTGAATGTAATACTCCATTTGCCAATGTAATAGAAATGAATTTATTTCTGCTTAAAAAGTTTGTTGTGTTCGAAGTAATGTAGTGAATGAGGGGCATATGCTTCCAAAAGCCGAGATGATTTACCCCGGCTAATAGAGTTGATGATTTGCTCAACTATGATGTTTTAGCCTAGATGATTTACCCCGGCTAAAAGAGTTGATGGTTTGCTCAATTCTGAAGTTTTAGTCGAAATGATTTACCTCGGCTAAAAGAGTTGATGATTTGCTCAACTCTAATGTTAAAGCCGAGATGATTTACCCTAGCTAAAAGGGTTAGCGATTTGCTCAACCTTGAAGGTAAAGCCTAGATGATTTACCCCGACTAATAGAGTTGATGGTTTGCTCAACTCTGATGTTTTAGCTAAGATGATTTACCCCAGCTGATAGAGTTGATGATTTGCTCAACTTTAATGTTTTAGCTAAGATAATTTACCCCGGCTAAAAGGGTTAGCGATTTGCTCAACCCTGAAGGTAAAGCCGAGATGATTTACCTCGGCTGATAGAGTTGATGATTTGCTCAACTCTGATGTTTTAGTCGAGATGATTTACCCCGGCTAAAAGAGTTGATAGTTTGGTCAATTCTGAGGTTTTAGCCGAGATGATTTATCCCGATTAAAAGAGTTGATTTTCTCAACTCTGATGTTTTAGCCGAGATGATTTACCCTGGCTAAAAGAGCTGACGAATTCCTCAACTCTGAAGCTAAAACCGAGATGATTTACCTCGGCTAGAAGGGTTGACGATTTACTCTACTCCGAG